AGGCCCTTTAACTTTGAGTTAGACTAACAAGAGCAAGAGTGGAGAGGGTACTATCGGAATGGAGTAAGAACACAGGAAAGCCCAGGAGCATTCCTGGCTTGGATCCTCCTTCTCCAACACTAGACAGTGAGCAGAGATATCCCCTGTACCCTTCTTTGGGATGGGCCATTCATCAATTGGGTGAGGAGTAAGGCAAAACTTGAGTGATGGCTTGAAACCAGGTTACTTTCAAAGCTGCCCATAGGATGCTGTGTCCTTAGACAATGGAGACCCTCTGCATGCACCTGGTGCTCTCAGCATCCTCTCTTTCCAGGGCACTTCAAGGAAGCAGAGCACCTACACCCTTGGCCAGGCCTCCCTGATCAATTCTTAGCAAGGACTAGGGATTCAGAGAGCAGCAGGGAGGAGCTGAATCTACACCTAGGAAATGCAGCAAGTTTCAGGTAAGTCTGCCCAAAGGTCTTCATAAGGACTCTGCTGGGCCTTTGGCTGAGGGTGGGCACAGCACATCACACAGGTACTTCTGAATCTTTGCTTTTCAAGATGCTAGGAAAAAGCCAGGTCCCACACAGCGTGTGCAAGACAGGTTTGCTGGTGGTTGCTCACACTGAAGGGTTCCTGAAGCAGGTGACTGGTTGATGTGCTGAGAAGAGCTGGTTCTCTCTGCATCTTGTCCTCCATTTTCTCCTAAGAGGCTCCTTCAGGCCTCTGACTTCTCTGCTGTCAGTTCACTGAATCAATGGGCTTGCACTTGAGAGGGACAGAGAAGACATGTAGGCCACATGCCTGCCGTGTGTGTGTGTGTGTGTGTGTGTGTGTGTGTGTGTGTGTGTGTGTGTGTGTGTGTGTGTGTTTGTTTTTTTTGTGGTGGGGGTTTTTTCTTCTGTGTACTCACTCTCAACTGTGTGTGTCATTTAACCTGCACAGTTCTTCCTGGTGTGATTGCCCATGCTTTACAGAAGAAAGTTTTAAAGTCAAGAAACAAAACTTACCGAGGCTGTCTTAGGGCTTCTACTGCTGTGGAGAGACACCATGACCACAGCAGCTCTTATAAAGGAAAACATTTCATTGGGGCTTGCTTACAGTTCAGAGGTTTAGTCCATGGTCATCATAGCAGGAAGCAATGCAGACACAGTGCTGGAGAAGGAGCTGAGAGTTCTACATCTGGATTGGCAGGCAGCAGGAAGAGAGTGACACTGGGCCTGGCTTGAGCTTCTGAAACCTCAAATCCCACCCCCAGTGACACAAGATCCCACCTACTCCAACAAAGCCACACTTCCTAAAAGTGCCACTCCCTATGAGCCTATAGGGACCATTTTCATTCAAACCACCACATAGGCTCACCCAGCCAATGAAGGGCAGGGCTTGGAGTCATACCTGGCTTTCAAGTCGAAACTCTCTTTGATTTAGGTACATAGACACAAAGCTACTGAAGCTTTAAACATTGGGCCCTCAGTCACTCACCTGTCCTTTCAGAGCTGTAATTTCATACTTATACCCTATATTCTTCTCCTTACACAGGCTTCCCTGCCAGCAGATATACAAGATCTGCTCAAGGGGCTTCCATTCATCTGCATTTACCTATGACTTGGGGTTTTCCAGGAATGCAAGACTTTTAATACTAAAATCAAGAAAGTCTCGGGTAACAGGGGTAGCGGTGGAGGAGATTACCTGAGATTAGCTAGATGTAGCCCTGCCCTCAAAACACTTGGAAACAGTGGTTCTTTCTGGTGGCTCTGATTATGTGCCATAATCTTGATCTTACAGTGTAGAGAGTCTAGATGCTATCTGAAGAAGGGCTTGGTTTGATGCATCTGGGGGGTGGGGATCATCTGCTGTGGAATTCAGGGCTTCATTCTTACTCTGTAGCCCTGGGCAGCTTCACATACATCATTTACCCTGATTCCCATATGTCATCACCCTTGTATGCCCTTCCAAGCTAGGTCATCTTTAATGCAGGTCTGACAGCTCTTCCTCTGGTGGATTTACAGCAGCTGGCCTAGTTGTTGATAGCCAAGACTTCAAACATCAACTGCCAGCCTGGCATGAATGTGTGTTCCAGGTCACTCTGCCAATATGTCAGAGCAAGTCCATACCTTTACCTTCATCTGATCTACTAAAACAGTGGTTCTCAACCTTCCTAATGCTGCATCCTTTTAATACAGTTCTTCATGTTGTGACCCCTCAAGCATAAAATTATTTTCATCGCTACTTCATAACTGTAATTTTGCTACTGCTGTGAATCATAATGTAAATATTTTTGGAAATGGAGGTTTGCCAAAGGGGTCACAACCAACAGGTTGTAGTTGAGTGTGCTAAACCACAGTCCCCTTCTCTCATACACGTTCACACAACTGTCTATAATCACATGAATTCTACTCCTGTTTGCAGACCCATTTGTTCACGTACACACACACACCATCTGCATGTGAATTCCCTCATCTACATGTTATCTTATCTCTGTGTAAATATACACGTTCATCATGACCACTCAAAAGGGAGGCGGGCCAGGCTTCTCAGGCCCCCTCTAGTGTTGAAGAAGCAGCAGGTGCCTACTATGCTATCAAGACTTGTCTTCCTGATGACCATTGATTGGCACACAGACAATCTGGGAGATCTGATGTGTAATTTACAGCATTTAACAGATTAGAATACTGAGGCTCTGAGAAGTCACCTGACCTCATCCAATATCGCATAAATGTATGTGTAACAGAACAATTGCTTGATCCTCAAATCTGTCTCAGAAGTTGATGCTCTATTAACAGCACCAAGTGTCCCACCCTTTAGGGACCATTGACTCTTTTAGTTACCATGGAAGTTATAAATTTTCTCTAATAGCCCTATTCTATTCTGTCCTCTAGGCATGCCTAGATTCTTCAAGGAGCTAACAAAGGCAATGTATGACTTGTCTTATTATTTTTCAGTCACTTCTATATGCTTGGGTTTTTCCCCCAAGCATTGAGTAGCCACATTCATTAATTTCCCTGTCTGCCCTTTGTGAACAAAGCTCTTCTTTACTACTGGGAATGCTTAAAAGCCCATGGTGCTGATGTTGGAAACCAGTGAAAGAGGAAGGAGATGCTTGGTCTGTGGGGATCAGCATCTACCTCCTGGGATGATAGGCCTTGGTGAGGCCTGACATTGAGCTAAGTTCCAGCTAGAAACCAGACTGAGGATTTCTTTTATTTCTTGGTAAAAGGACATGTGCGGGGCAGGAGTGGGGTGGGGAGAAGCAGGTGCCAGATCATAGCTCCTTTTTGAGTCCTTATGACCCAGGCTGCTCTGGGGCTGGTGTCCCTAGAAGGCTGACCTCCATAGTACCCTTTTGCAGGAAGTAGTTTTGAGATGGGATACTGCAGTCTCTACCACCCCCTACCCCAAGAGCTGTGTCCTTATGTAACTTATTAATGTTAATTATCTTGTTCCCCTCCTTGCAGGGATAATGAGGCTTCCATCGAATGCTTTCCTTGTTGTGCCCATTTCCAGGATGGAATGGGCTTTGTCTTTCTTTCTCCAAGCAGACCCAAAAATATGTGTACATGGTAGTCTTATACATGTGTTCTTTGCTTTTTTCAAGGGAGAAAGGAGGGGATATAAGGATGAGAGATAGAAGCTCCCATTGCCAATAAGGTAGGAGTTTCAGCTCTGATAAGGTCTGAAAGTACCGTGAATGGACTGTGAACACTGTCCACTGCCTAGGAAACTTGGGGAGCATGAAACCACACCACTGCTGCCCAAAGCCAGTTCCTGCCTTCTGTACTCCCCCACCTCAGCTCACTTTGGCTGCTTCTAGCTGTATTCTCTCCTGTTTTCACCTGATCTTATTCTTCCTGTTCTCAAGGCAAATCCAAGAACATTCTGAGTCCTTCTATATGTCTGCGTCTCTTCTGGCCCACAATACAGTCATGTAGTTGATGAATTATGCTCCAATTCTCAAATCTTCCTACCTCTACATCTTCCTGATACACACAGGGCCATATATACACTATATGCTTATACAAAATATACTTACATACCACACTAACAATCATGAGTAGTGGAGTACACACACCACAGCCCATACACCACCTTTCCCATTCACAGTACATCCCTCTCTCACTGGTACTCCCTCTCTCTCTCTCTCTCTCTCTCTCTCTCTCTCTCTCTCTCTCTCCTCCTCTCTCCCTCTGAGTTCATGCCTCAGCTACGTATCCTCTTTGTGTTACCCTTACACATGTCACCTTCAGTTCTTCACCTTGTGTTTACAGTGCAGTAACGGCAGCCTCTCAGATGTCAGAGGACCATGTTCTTTGGAACTTGGGACCCAGTGCAGAGTCTGACCACTCTTCTCCCTGGGAATGGGTAAGTGGGGGAGGGAGTGAATGAGGGAGTGAGTGAACAGTTATGAAAGGGAGGTGGAAGGTTGGCTCATGACATGACACAGGCTCTGATTTGCCTGTGCATGGTTGTCGCTACAGAAGCCCCACCTATCAGCCTCACACCTGATGCTCCTGCTATCCTCACTCGGGCCCAGGAGTAATACAGGAAAGGGGGCTTCTCACCTTGCTGGGAGGATCAGATTAGAGGCAGCTTTACTGAGGCAAGCCTCTTAGACCTGAGCCACCTGTCTCTTGTGAGCTCTTTGCTCGCTGTGGAGATGAACCCTGCTCCAGGGTGGGGCATTTGCTGGGCCTTTCTAAGCCTCGAACTTTGCAGGAACCCTATCCATCTGCCTGCTCCTAAGTAGACCTTTCATGTCATTTCAATTTTTGCAGAAAATTGAACTGTCAAGGCTACAGAGAAACCTGGGCAAGACTAGGTAGGCTCTGTGTCCTGGTGTGTGGGACCCAAACACCTAACTACTGTCTCTCTCTTCCTGCCAGATTATTCTGTGATGGAGTAGCCACCAAGTTTTTCCAGACACTTTCTTTCTATATTTCTTTTTGTATTTCAGGCCACATTGCTTTCTGAGACAAGGATGCTCCATGCATAGTATGTATGACAATTTATTATTTATTATTTTTGGTGCTCTCCTGGTGACGGACATTAGGAAGTTACAGGAATTGGTTCAGAGACCATTGGTTAAATACTAGAAATTTGAGGCTGTCTGTGGGTGCCTGAGATGCTGTATTCCTTGCTGATTACACTGAGGTTTTGCTACTAGGCATTTTGGCCAGTTTGGAAATCTCTGGAGTGGTAGCTTCCACAGAAGGAATCTTTGACTTTCACTCTTGAAGACATGTGGGCTGGGCCTGGATCATAGTGACTCTGAAAGTTGGTGGTAAGGTTGGAACCAGGACTTGAAATTCTGGAATGTTCCTGGGTGTCTGAAATGAAGCCTCCCAGTGTGACAGTTCACTGTTGCCATGAAAGTTGGCAGGGACCAAGTCAAGTCCTCTGGTGTCTCCGCAGCTGGGCATGAAGGTCTCATGTGGGTGGAACCAGGCTTCAGGAGCTCTATACCTGTGGGAGAGCACCTGGTACCACCCATGTCTTGGATGGTGGCTTGATTCTGCATGGTCTGCAGGGTCTTGTGTGATGTCCTGGGGGTGAGTGACAGTAGAGAAGAAGAAGGGACATGGGAAGGCAAAGTGAAGTAGGTAGAACAGGGTGAAGAGAAGGAGGAAGACACAATTAAGACTCATTCTTATGCATAAGAGTTTAAAGAAACCAAGTAAGTGGATCTTACTGCCCTCTCCAGAACCTAAAGGGCCCCCCTGGCATTAATTAAAATAACGCTGAGCAATTGGTATTTGAGAGAAAAAGGAAAGGGTTATTAAGTATTGGTGATGAGGTTATTTTTCTTTGTGTTTCAAGTTTATTCCCATCTGCATTGTGGTATGTTAATGGCAGGAATGTGAGGCTGAAGTGCTTGGATTCAAAGCCTGTTAACACTCACTAGCCTTCAGCTGTCTAGACCTTCAGCAAGTTTGAAACTTCTCTGTTGTTTGGCCCCTCAACCATAAAGTAAGAACCCTTAGTAGTAGCTAATTTTCAGAATTACTGCAAGGACTATAAGTGTTAGTGGATGTAAATACTAATGAAAACTGAAAGTACTTCATTCATCCTCAGCCTCATGCGGTCATCCCAAATAAGGCCCCATTACATTGTCATGAACATGCAAACAAGCAAATACACAAACAAATGAATGTGATTGGCCATGATGAAAGACATGCCTATCTGACATGCAAACTCACTGAAAACTATGCTTACTGCTTTGGTTTCCCAAGGTGAGGACAGTTTCTTGTATAGTCTAGGATAATGAATAGAATTACAAGGCTCAATTAATTGTTTCCTCTGATTGGGTCCCTTGGCATTAGGGCTGCCAGGCCTGGCCACCACCTCCTTCCTAGGTTTTATTATTCTGGTCCTACATGTTGTATGTCCACCCTGCTATTGCTATCGTGAACCTCTCAAGAGACCCCACTTCCTCAGTGGGTGACATTTATCATTCTAGTTAAGCCCCCTTTTTAAAGACAGAGACAGCCAAACAGAGGGTGGGGATGGGGTGACTCTGAAGAGTTCTACTCCTGTGGGTTAACTCATTTTGTTGAGTTTTGAAACAAGGAGTGTGGCACAAATCCTCAGGACCTGGGCTTGTCTCAGGTCCACATGGCCTCTCAGGAGCTTCCCCTATTGACCTGGCGACACATGGAAGGAAGATGGCCTAACAAAGGCTCCCTGCTCATAACTTTGGTCTGGTGGGGTCTAAGAAGCTAAGAGTCTGACTCAGGCCATTGTCTGGGCCCCTCAGTAGCCAACTGTGCCAGTATATTGAATGTTCCTTTCCAAGGTGATGCCTAGATAGTCTTGCTATGTAGACCACTCTCCAGTTTGTAAAACTGCTTTAAGAAAACTCTGTCACATTTTTCTTTTCTGGTAAATGGTCAATGCAGTCACTTCAGCCTGACTGCTATTCATTTATCCTTTTAACTTTCAAAGATGTTATGTTACTGCCACCCAAAATCCCAAGCCTTGCACATTGGGTCATTCTGTGGGCCTAGCCCAGCATGTTGACACAAAGCAGAGCCCAGGAAAGGTTTTAGGATGAGCTGCAGCCTCTCTGAATGCCTCTATTGTCTCAGCTGCCATTAGTTTCCATTCTCATAGAAAGTGGAAGCAGTGTTCTTATGCTGTGAACCAGGCCCAGGAGACTAGATTACAGGAACATGAGACACCCTGAAATCTTGCTGTTGATTGCCCAACACCCTGATTCATCTTCTCTTCTCTCTGCGACTTAGGGTCTGTTCTGGGAGATGCTGGATGGAAGCAGCAAGCATGGGCAAACAGGTTCTCTGGGTTGGCTATTGGGTAATCAGCATCAGTGAAGAGTCAGGAGAAAAAGAGAAGCTGGAGGAAGGAGAGGCACACACGCGCACACACGTACATAGGTGCATACACAAATACTACATGTACAACACCTATGTGTCATGTAACTCAATCCACAAATATACACAATACACATGGGCTCTGGGATGGGTGCAGCTGTCCTGGAAGCCCAGCCTCTTCCATTGTGATGGCGAGACAGGTTTACAGGGTGTCAAGGGTTTGACCTGATGCCGTGTATTCTGTGGACACAACCCCACGACTTCTCAATAACAGCAAGCTGGATCCTGCAGCCACACACTTTCTACAGAGTTGGAGGAGACTGCTCAAGAGCACAAAGCTACCAGGCTGTGGAGCTGAGAGCCCATCCTGAAAGCACTTTCCTTCCAGGAGGTTTCGTGCTCACATTCTACAGAAAACTTCCCTGTCTGTTACAGTGCAAGAGACCCATAGACCTGGTGTGTGGCTCTGCTTTTGGATCCTTCTGAGCGTCAGCTCCCCACTCTAGATAACTGAGACAAGATCCCCCTGGAGTAGGTCCAGTAAAGATGCCTGCTTAAGTCTTCTTGTTTTAAGTTGCTCATGAATTCTGCCATGAATTTTTGAAGTATATGTTCAAATAGAGATCCACTCTCAATATAGGATCCATGACTTAGCTCATTCTCTCATAGTATTATGTGTTCAACCAAAGGCTACTTTTGTATTGGACATGAGGAGTGTGCCTGGCCATATTCCACATTTCTAGGAGCTGTGTGTAGAGTGTGATGAATGTGTTTATACATGCCTCTCTATACATAGTCTGTGTGTACATGTAGGTATGTTTGTATACATGTGGTATATATATCTGTATGTAGCTGTATATATATGTGTGTATATGCATGTATTTATATGTCTGTATGTGTATAGTATTTGTGTCTATATATGTAGTAGGTGGTGTATTAATGTGTATTTGCATGTCTGTGATCCTAGATGTGTGATATGTGTATGTGCATGTGTGTGTGTGCCCATATGATGTGTAGTGTATAATTTTGTGTGTGTAGTATATGATTATGTGGTGTGCATGTGTTTTCATGCATGTACTTGCATATGCATCTGTATGGTTGTGTGTGTGTGTGTGTGTATGTGGGTATGTGTAGTGTGTGTGCATGTGTGTTCACCCCTCCTTCCCTCGAGTTTCTCTTTTCTCTTCTGCCTCTGGGCATCTGTGAAGGAGGGGCTAGAGGTGAGGACAGGTTCCAGCAAGCCACCATCAGTGGGGAGCTGGATTCTCTCTCCCCTATTTGCACCTTATTTCACAAGTTCCTGTGGGAAGCAGAGCTACTGGCAGCCAGTGCTCACCCTCCACCTTGTCTAGGCGGGTGCCTCACACTTGGTTATTCACGAGGTATGTGTGAGAGAAGTGGTTATTTTTACCCAGCCCTGACTGGGTGTGATGGCAGTGTAGAGGAGGGGCTGTCAGCCTCTTGGGGTGCAGAAGTTGGAACTATCCTGTCTTCCTTATCCTGCCTTCCTCTTCATTCACATGAAGACAGAAAGTCCTTGGAAGACACAGTCCTTGAAAGACAGGACTCTTGGTTTCTGGTTATGGGCTTCAGGTGCCACAGCCTGAAATAACATGGGGAGTCATAGCCTTGAACTCCCAAGAATTAGCACTGAAGCTGCAGAGACCCGAGATGTAGGCCCTAAGTTAAAGTCAAGCCATGTCTGGTCTGAGTTCAGCCTTCCTACAGGCCACTGCCTGCTGCCCTAAGCTCCAGTACTCTCAGTACAAAAGTTACAAAGTTCCACCATCCTAACCATCCACCATGGGCCAGCATCACAGAGTTTCAGCCTGCTGCTGACCTGGAGTCCCAGGCTGGTATCTACATGCTTAGAGGTCTGCATCTGTGTCTGTCTTCATCACTATTCACTGTTAGGTCTCCCAGGTCTGGGAGAGGGCAGCTAAGCTCTTTCAGGCCTCATGCTGATCATAGCCAGGTTGCTGTCAAGACTGAGCTTCAGTATACCTGCATCTTTGGGTGCTCTCTTATCTCCTACCAAGCTGAAGCTCTCTGCACCCCCACACTCCTCACATTTATACAGGTCCTGCTTCAGGTCTGCAGGTGGGTTAAGGCTTTCAGATTCTCTGGGCACCTCCCATCCTGTAGCTCCCCTGTCTCTGTTCCTCCTCCTTGCCCACACCACAGCTTCTTTATCATCTACATTCACATTCCTGGTCTTTCCCATGAGGCCTCCCATCCAGGGATGTTATATTATTATTATTATTATTATGATTATTATTATTATTATTATTAGCTAAAGCTGTGCTTGTTCAGCTGTATACAATAAACCTGCCTCCTCAATTCAGATGTATATCATATAAATGCATTCAGGTTCTGGGGTACAGTTGGAGCCCTCCATGAGGGTAAGCAGAGCCCACCTGCTCCCAGCTTTTCTTTTCTTTTTTTTTCTTTTGTGTTTTATTTGAATTACAAACACGGTTGAATTACATGACAATCCCCGTTCCCTTCTCCCTCCCCTCCTCCCCTGCCACCCCCTCCAACTAAAACCCTACCTATCACATATCCTTTCTGCTCCCCCTGGATGGTGTGGCCTTCCATAGGGTATCATCAAAGTCTATCGTATCCTTTAGAATAGGGCCTAGGCCCACGCCCGTGGCTCAATAAATATTCCTCTATGTGGAATGGGGTCCCTTCTCCAGGGGACAAAGTTTGTCTCTTTTAGGGCCCTCCTTGTTTACTAGGCTGGTAATCCCTTACTCTATGTTTAAAATCCACATATGAGTGAGTACATAACATGTTTGTCTTTTTGTGATTGGGTTACCCTGTGCCATTCTTAAGAGCTTTTTCTTGCAGAAAATGTTCAGTTTTAAATGGCTGACTTGTTGCCTCTTCAGAGGACTCTAAACTCTGTGCGGCTGAAAATGAACGTGGTTCCTCTGAGAACTTCACACAAGACACTGGCTGGGACTCATCACAAATCTGACCTTTCCCATGGCCACCCTAGAAATCTTCCCACTCGAAGCCCAGACAGGATGAGGTCACTTACCTTTCTGGGGTGTCAGTTTGGATCTATGAGTCAGGTAACAGCAGGGCTTGAATTTTGAGGGCCTCAGACGATGCCTTTTCCCTGAGAAGTAGAAGGGTACAGATCCTCCAATTAGTGGGGCCAAGGCCATCATCGGGCCAATCTGGACAGGGAAGACTTGAGAGTGCTTCAACTCACAAGACTCAGAGTTCAAGAACATTTGTTAAAAGCTGGGCAGTGGTGATACACTCCTTTAATCCCAGTCCCAGGGAGTCAAAAGCAGGCAGATCTCTGAGTTCGAGGCCACCCTGGTCTACAGAGTGAGAATAGTCAGGGTTTCCCAGAGAAACCCTGTGTTGAGAAATAAAACAAAGCAAAAACAAACAAACAAGAACATTTATTGAAAACAAACAAAAACCAGGATGAAGTTGGCTAGGAGAGAAGTAGCCTATGTTGTGTGACTTTCCAGAGATAAAGACAATGCTGGAGTCACTGTGCCCTGGGAATGTTTCCGCTTCATAATGCTGTTTAGAAAAGCATAGCACTGAGGAGAAATGTCTTTGCTCTTAGACATTAATTCTGACTTGGCAATCCAGATCTGCAGTCTAAGAAAAGCATCCTAAATACAGGAAACATTTTATATACACGAAGTTTTTATGACTGTATGTTTAATATAGTGTGTTCAAGCACATGAATTCGTGGGTGGGCACTCATAGGTTGGCAAATCATAGACACACATGTCTTTTGAGTAATACCATAGCCTGAAGCTGCCAGACACATTCCAACATGGGGGAAGCTTATGACTTTCCATTAGAATTGTATTGGTGACTTTGAAATCATCCAGAAGTCTGATAAATGGCATTCTGTGGGCTGTGCTGAAGAATCTAACGTATTCAACGAAGAAACATGAGCAACAAAAACCCACCAACCAACCATCCAAAAACAAAACCAAGTGCTTCCTGTAACTCTGCTACTTAGCGATGATACTGTGCAGGCCTGATGGCAACCTTCAGTATTTTGGGTGATTAGGTAATATGGTGAGGGTTTTTGTTTTGTTTTTTAAAAAAATCTTTTACGTCCACAAAATGTTAAAATTATCATAACTGTTGATACAAAATTAATTGGAGGTTAAGTAAGAGAAAAAGGCTCCAACACTCAGCTTTTAAAATGAAGAAAGGCAATAAGGGGATGGGGAAGTGACAAGGGTTTTAGGAGCTCTCACTACTCTTCCAGAGGACCCAAATGCAACACTAATAATAAAAACCCAGAGACAGATACTAGGGTTCAAGCTGAAGATCAGAAAAGCAAAGCAGCCAACTCCTAGAGAGTTCTTACCTCTACCAAGGCTGGGGCAATCCAGTCCTCAGTGTGACTGCAGTCTGAATACCTACTGAGCTCCCGAGTTCCTGTCTTATATTCCTCTCTAGTGCTGGAATTTTAGGCATACACCACCACAACCCCAGCTTCCATGGCTAACTAGTGTGACTGCTGGGATTAATGGTGTGTACCACCACTGCCTATGGCTAGCTTTGCATTCTGATCTTCAGGCAAGCTTTATTAGATCATAAACAAAATATTACCAAAACCAAATTTGGTACCAAGAACTCATTGAGTGGCTCATAACCTCCTGTAACTCCAACACCAGGGAATCCAGCATCCTCTTCTGGCCCTTGAGGGCATCTAGACACACGTGGCATATCCTAAGTGAAATAATCTTAAAGGCAGCAGATATAACTATCCATCTCTACAGGGACAAAAAGAACCATGGATGTTCTCCACATCTGAGCATACACCAGCATGCCACACACATAACCCCTTACCATACATGACCTCATTTCATCTGCCCATGGAGCTTTCTGTGCATAAGGATTTGAGATACTCAAGTTCAGAGAGCCAATTATTCATTTACTTTGTCCCCAACACAACACAAGTGACAATAGAGGTCACCTGACTTCCCAGTCAAGGCTTAGGTGAGTAGCTCTCTGGAGGATCTGTGTGAGCATGCAGCTTCATATAGGTGTCAGATAACAAAGGAAACTCCACTCTCCCAAGTTCTGGTGCTGTGCTTGTTTTCCTCAACCAAAGGAGCCATTTCCTTATTACTTTCAGAAGGGATGATTGTGCCTATTAGCACACCAAAGCACTTGCTGGCCTCCAAGCTCTCTCAGTATAACAACTACCCCTGGCTCCTCACAGCTCTTCTCACCCTGCCCCCTACATAAAACTTCTCCAGCTCACAGGGCTTTCCTTCCCCAGCTTCTCATCTCCACATAAAACTGCCATTTCAGCCATCACTCTCTGTCTTCCTCTCTCACTCTCCCCCTCTCCTCTCATGAACAAGTCCATTCTGCTGGTCATGTTCAGTTTACCACTTCCTCTCTCTGCTCTGGACTCTTCCAGATGACTCTGGCTGTGCATACCCTAAATCTACAAAAACCTTCCTTTCAGCCATACCTTGGAGAGGTCATGCCCGTTTATACATTTGGAGCTAAACACCTCAGTTTATACATCTGATATCAAAACCCTTAGTTTATACGTCTCATGCCCAAACCCTCAGTTTGCACAGTAGGTCCTCAGCATGTTTGGGACTGTAGAACTGCACTTAGAAGATAGAAAGCCTGAAGTCCACCATGGTGGAGAAAATATCTGCATGGATCTTTCCAGTGTCCAGGATTATCTGCTGGGACCTGCTCCCAACTAATTCCTGTTTGCGATCTCCCCAGACCATGGACTCACTCCTCAAGGACCTTACCTTCTGAGGAGAGAATGACCCAGAGGGCAGGCAGCCTTACCTTCCGAGGAGAGAACGCAGAAGCTGAGGAGCAGCATGCAGAGCAGACTGCAAATGACTAGAAGTCTCATGGTGAAGTAGCTGGAGTCTCACAGCTTGGAAGGGAGCGGTGCCACAAAAGGCCTCCTTTTGGCCTCTGAAGACATTTATAGAGAGGCAGAGAGAGGCGTTCCCCCATAGGCAAGACATCCCAGCCTAGAAGACCGCCCCTCCCAACTGGATAATAAACCAGCTCTTCAAGAAGTCAGAGAATTAGGTGACTTGTTGCAGGGACTTGTAAATGTCTAGCCCTGAGAGCTTGTTCTGTATTGACCTCAATGCTTAGAGAAGGAAACTCTTATGTAGGGAAAAGCCACTGTCCAGGGTTGAACGTTAACTTTTAGAGTCAGTAATAACTCCATCAAATGCAGATCTTCCTGCTTTCATGTAACTGTGGCTGGCTGGGCAAGGGGCCATAAAACCAAAGGCAAAGCCTTGGGGACAGCCAAACTTGGGCTTGAATCCTTTCTCTCACATTTATCAGCAGTGCTATCTTGAACTCGCTGTCATTAAATGTCTCTGAGTCTGCTGCCCATATGTGAGGTGCATACAGAGCTGCCTGAGGACATGCTCCAGAAGTCATCTGTACCAAGCTGGCCTTGTGTCATTGCCAGATTATGTGGGGGACACAGCTAGCCCCTGGCGGGCATTTGGCTAAATGCTTAGATAGAGTGCTACACATTAGCCTGAGAAAGGCATGGCACAGAGAGAATCTGACTGGAGGAGAAAGGGAATGTGTCACACTTGCAGGAGGCCAGGTCACCCATCCCTCAGACATAGGCACTTACTGGGGTGTGAGCTAAACCACAAGGACATGAAAAATAATGTGCCTGACCCCAGAGACTGTTGTGTATAGAAGTGACTGCCACAATACATTGTACCATGCCAAAGTTCCATGAAAGATGTGGTCTAGTGAGCTGGGGGAGGGAGGAGAGAAGGCTGTGCAGAGATAGAGTAGATAGAGTTGGGCAAAGCACTGGGCTAGTATGGTTGGTCAGATTGTGGTGGACTTCCTGAACCACAGAGGAGTTATATGGGCCAAGATAAAAAAAAAAAAAAAAAAAAAAAAAAAGGACCGGAGGGAGGAAGGGAGGGAGGCATAATATCTTGGTGGTTGGGTAGACAGATGCCTGGACACTTAGGGCTTCTTTTTGTGTTAACAATGGTCTGTGGTCTCTAAGACACATGGAAGACACATGGTCTCTGGAGCAGGTTAAGCACTGGGTGCCTTTAACAATATTGTATGGGTGCCTCAGCAAGTACCAGGCCCTGGCCTTGAGGGATAAGAGGAACCAGGTTATCTACAGCCTATAAGGGATAATGGGTGGGCAATTCCCACTCGCTCTGCTGAGCCTTTACCTGTCTCTGCCAAACCCTCGACTTCTGAACCAGCTCTTGCTTCTCCTTCTGGATCCAGCTCAGGAATCTTCTCTCCCAGGCTTTCCTGGCAACTGGGGTGGTGATGGTGGCTGGTGTTGACTATTAGCTTTCAGACTTCTCTTTCCTCCCAGTCACAGATGTCTGAGAGGCAAATGGCCTGAACCCATGGAGCAAAAGGAGGGCAGGGCAGACTCTGTGGGCCTGTGGCATCTTTGTGAATTGTGGGCATCTCTGGGCAGCTAAGCGTGGTACAGCACTCTGCAATGCGTTGGTTATACTGAGAGTCTAAGGCATCTGGCTACCTCATCCTAAATTAAGCTGTCTTTCCAGCTTAATTTGGAAGATTAAGGCTTTGTCTGACAAGAAGAGGTAAACTAAGAGAGGAGAACTGACTGCATTACACACACTCAGATCAGAACCTAAAGAATGAAAGACTCAGAAGTGCACAATACCCTTCAGCCAATACAGTACAAGAACTCTCCATGTGGGTAGGCACAGGGTAGCAGTTGACTCTGGTTTAAGAAGAAATGTGCAGCATCAGAAATGGAACTCCCTTCTGGAAACCAGCAAGGTTTCTAGGGCCGTAATGTATCCTGCCTGTGTAAACACACATGGAACTTGAGATTGCCCTTATGGAGGGACAGACTGTCCTTCCTTGATAGGCATACTTCACAATCAAGTAATAGATGACTAGTTCCTAACCAGCTGGTCCCATAGGAGGGCGTCACATTCTATCCAGCTCTCCAGGATCCCCTGTTGATGGAGTCTGGGGCTCTGTTTGTTGCAGGGTAGAGAAGCAGTTTAGCATTATGCCCAGAATGGTTCAGTGGCAAAATCAATGGCCAGGAGACATCCTGGCCAGCAGCCTATGCTTTTTTTATAGATGTGAAAAACATTTACAGCTAGTTCCTGGTCTGTAGGACTATCATGATAGACCAGTCCTTACTTTCTGCCAGCTAAGTTGTTCTTTTCCCTCTAAAAGAACCTCTAGAGAATACATACCTTTTCCCCCAACAGTTGGCTGCTCCACCTCTTTCCAGGGTATGAGCTCTGGAGTTATTCCTGAGCGCAGACGGCTAAGTAATTAAGGGAGGGCTACCTGGATCTTCTGACCCACCGGGCCCGGTTCCCATCATTCTCCTGGGATTGATGGACACTCACTCCACCACGAAACCAGATTTTTTTTTTTTTTTTAAGATTTATTTATTATGTATACAGTTCTCTGCAGGCCAGAAGAGGGCGCCAGATCTCATTATAGATGGTTGTGAGCCACCATATGGTTGCTGGGAATTGAACTTAGGACTTCTGGAAGAACAGTCAGTGTTCTTAATCTCTGAGCCATCTCTCCAACCCCCTGGGCTTTTGGTTTTTAGCACAGCTTGTTCCTTATCACAGGACAAAGCCATAAGGACAAAGCCACAAGGGTTGGGGGGAATGGCTATCTTGGGGGCTTTTCCTGACTCACGCATAACACACAATTCTCACATTTGCAGGTTTCAGGGGGAGAACTGAGATTCTGCCTGCTTTTTGTTTGGTTGGTTTTGTTTTTTCAAGACAGGGCCTTTCTGTGTATCTTTGGCTGTCCTGGAACTCACTATGTATAATGGGCTGGCCACCAACTCAGAGATCCACCTACCTCTGTCTTCTGAGTGCTGGGATTAAAGGCATGCACCACCACTGCCTGGCCTCTGCCTGCTTTCTAAATATTCACAAAACTTATTGAAGCAAATTAAAATAGTAGAGGGTATATAACATAAACTCCAAGCTCAGCCCCAGGGACAATCACTCTTCTCAGATTTTCACTTACTTTTAACATTTCAAAGATAACTGTCAACTTCCTACTTTAAAAAAGGAAGAAACACCTCTGACTTTATAGAATATTCAAAAATCTCATGTTGAGCTGAGAGAGGTGAAAATGAGAAGTATCTTAATGGGGACACCTGCTAGTCTTAAGCATACGCAATTTTAGTATGGAAAAAAGAAGTACCTAAACTTGAATGGTTTCCAAAGATGGTTTTGAAAACTTGGCAACCGTCCTGAGAAGAAAGCCTTCAGAGGCACACCTAAAACAAGGGGAATTTTATAAGGAAAAAAAACCAGCCATTTCAAATCAAGTTTTGCATTTCTAAGAGCAGTGAGGAAGCAGCTGCCTGCAGCCTCCCCACCCAGCTTGCTCACTCTTTGGACTGAGTTCCACGCCTCAGGCAGCACTACCTCTTCTTTATAGACCTCATGGTTGACCAGAAATGACTCCCTTCTGTGAGCTTGCAAACTGCAGAGCAGCAACTAATGGAGGGTGACAAAAGGTCCCAGGCCCTAGCCTTTCCTCATGGCTGCACTGAATTCCCTCTCTGCTTGATCCTAGGGGAATGTAAAGTTTTGCTTGACCGTGTGGTCATGAGGGTCTCTTGCCCGGAACTAGGTTTGTCAGACTCCAAAGCTGTTCTCCCTCAGAGTTCCAGGGCGCATGTGCAGTGGGGAGGATGCCCAGCAAGACAGTTTCAATTGTTTATAGCTAACCTGAACTGAACTTTCTCATATGCCTTCTTTCTATCCACTTGGTCTTGCCGGCCTGTGGCCATTATGCTGCGGGCTAGCAAGGCTGGTGTAAGTGATGGGATTCGACTGCAGTTGTGGAGGTGCTCCCTCGGTCCCTGCCCTTGACAAGGGCTTGGGCTCTGCTCTCACTGCTGGGGTGAAGTGTCCTACTGTTGTTAACTCACATCTCCCGACCTCCAGAGAGTTCTCCCATAGCCTGTTCTGGGGTCACCGTGGCATTTTCATGAAGGCAGCAGCTGCATTGGGGTTTCCTCCACTGATAAGTTTCCTGACTACCCTGTCCTCTACCAGCCCACACAGGTTTGCAGAAAGCCTTTTTTTTTTTTTTTTCTGCTCTTCCATGGCCACTGAAGGTTGCTGTTGAAGCCAGGACACCGGTCTCTGTGCCCTTGGTTCAAACAGCCCACCTCCACTCACTGCTTTGCTTTAACAGCTTTGGTGTTCATAAATGAGCACGTTCCTTTTGTTTCTGTTACCCCCCTCCCCCAACACACACACACACACACACACACACACACACACACAGAGAGGGTTTCTCTGTGTAGGCGTTGGCTGTCCTGGAACTTGCTCTGTAGACCAGGCTGGACTTGAACTCAGAGATTCACCTTCATCCCCACTGCCCAGCTCTGTGCCTCATTTATTTAACACAATAGAAAATTTGCCTATTCAAGTTCTAGTAAGATTATGCTGGACATATATACCAGATGCCTTTTATCAGTAGATCAGTGGCACTCAGGTTGATTCTCTGCTTTGGCTATTGTGTACAGGGCTGTGATGAATACAGGTGTACAAATACCTTTTCAATATACGGATTCCACCTTCTTAGGATATATACCCAGAAACAGGTGACTAGCTCCTTTTATTTAATTTTTACATTCCAATCCCAGTTCCTCCTCCCTTCTTCTTCCTGCTCCCTTCACCTCCCAACTGCTCCTCGGAGAGGGTAAGACCTAGGAAGTCTACTAAGTCTGTCCCATCATCTCGTTGAGGCAGCACCAAGGCACCTCTCCACCCCACACACCTGTGTCAGGCTGAGCAAGGTATCTCTCCATATAGAATGGGCTCCACTAAGTCAGTTTGCGCATTTGAGATAGATCTTGGACCCACTGCCAATGGCCTCTTTTATTGTTCCAGTCATACCATTGTCACCTATATTAGAGGAGTCTAGTTTGACCTTATGCAGGTTCCCCATTTGTCAGACCTGAGTCAGTGATCTCTCACTAGCTCGGGTCAGCCAATTCTATGGGTTTTCCCATCACAGTCTTGACTCCTTGGTTTATATTATTGCTACTCTCTCACTTCGATTGTACTCTAGGAGCTTGGCCCAATGGTTGGTTGTGGATTTATGCATCTGCTTCCATGGCTAGCTCTTTTCCAATAACAACCTGTCTCCAAACAGTGTCCAACCACCACCTGTGCTAAAAGATATCTGATGCTTTAGTAGGGCCCCTCTCCCTTGCTACACTAGGCACACACATACACTGAATTTTAGGTCTTTCTTAGTTATAACAGGAGACAGACACTTGCACATGTGTATTAAGCTTGTTTTTCTTTTTCGAGGCAGGGTTTCAATGTAGCCCTGGCTGTCCTGGAGCTTTGTAGACCAGGCTGACCTCAAATTCAGAGATCACTTGCCTCTGCCTCCAGTGTGCTGGGATTAAAGGCATTCACCACTACTGCCCAGTGTACATGTGGATTTTGATGGAGAAGGGTAAGGACAAGAAGAGTCCATGTGAGACCTGGCAAGAAGGGTATGGAAAGAGCAGGAGCAGCAAAGGTTTCTGCTTAGGGCTGAAGAACAATAAGATGGCTCAGGATGGATCTGTTCTGTCCCTTGCTACTCAGCAGCAGCCTTCCCAGAAGAGGTGTCACCTTGCTTTCGCACTAGAAGTCCCAGAATAGAATGAAGACTTTTGTGGAGCTGCTGGAGATGGGCAGTTCTGGGGTAAAGTCAACTCAGCTGGAGTAGTCAAAGTTGCAAAGCATGCTGGGTCATGGGGGATTGAAGGTGTAAGGCCAGTGCTGCAGTGGATCTGACCATTTCCCCATGAGCTTCCTATCAAGTGTTTCAGTGGTTCTCACAGTTTCTCCATATGGATTTCCATGTTTAAATATTACCCAAGGACTGGAGAGTTGGTTCAGCAGTTAAGGGCTCTGGCTGCTCTTCCAGAGGACTCAGATTTGACTCTCAGACTCACAAGACAGCTTGCAACTGTCTAACTCTAGTTTCAAGGAATGTGATAGCCTCTTCGGGCCTCAGGAACACACATGGTACACATATATACATGCAGGCACAACACTGCATGTTAGAGTTGGTTCTCACTTCCTACCATGTGGGTCCTAGGAATCAAACTCAGGTCATCAGGTTTGGCACCAGGTGCCTTTATCCACCAAGTCATCTTGATGCCCCTAACCCTATTTTAGCTAATTCAGGAAGCATTATTCTACTTAAATAAGTCAGCTAATTATACTTACGTTTTGAGACACTCAGAGTGTAGTACTTGACTTTGAGCACAAGTAGAGTCCTGCAGGCTTTATAGCTTTCAACACCACACACGATTTGATTGGGTCCTGCAGTGGAGCTGAGTTCTCTAAGTAGGTTGACACTCCCTACACCTGCTGCCTGTGGATAGGAGGCCAGACTTTCTTCTTCCCAGAAGCACCAAGACTTCTCAGAACAATTACTATGGGTAGTCCTTTTTTATTTTCTGGATAGTCTTGAGTCATTGAAGTGTTACTTCCTGTGCTCCAACTATTACTTAAGAGTGTCTAATAGATACACCAACCCCAAGAATGGTTCATGAGTCACCCAGGTGTGCTGACATCTGAAGAATGACTCAAGCTCTGAAGGGCAGTTGAGACTTTAAAATCCTCCACCTCTAGTAAAGGTCTCTGCCTTAAGCACCGTGTGTCCAAGACCAGCAAGGCCAACTGCCCTCTTTTGGCACTATTAGACCTTTCCTGGTTACTGCCAATCAGCTACAAGCTTTCAGACTGACATGCCTCTGGCCACTCATTCCTTGTTTCCAGTTGGTGCCAAGAATTCCTTTAAGGACTATCAAATTCCATAATCTTGTAAACAGATCACATTAACCAGTAAAACTCTCAACCTCTATTCATCATCTAGTCTCAGTCATTCTACATAGCCAAGATCAACCTATTCAATGTGCTTTCAGAACGTAACTAGACTGACCTGTTCGTTTTCTTGTAATGCTCTCTGAAGCGCCACCCCCTTAAAAAAAAAAAAAAAGACACATGGGTACACAGGCATAAGTGAGAGGAATAACGTGCAGGAGTCTGTTTTCTCATTCTACCATGTGGGTACCCAAGATTGAACTGAAGTCATCAGACTCTGTGGCGTGTTACCTGCTGAGCCACCTCACTAGCCTTCATTAAAAATAGGTAAAATCTGGTGGGAGATGGCTCAGCGTTCACAGCACTGGCTGCTCTTCCAGAGGGTCTGAGTTCAGTTCCCAGCAACCACATGGTGGCTTCAGACCACCTATAATGAGATAGAGATCTGGTGTCTTCTGGAGTGTAGGAATACATTCAAGCATAAATAAATAAATGTACATATTTTAAAAAAGGTAAAGGCAATTATGGATACATAAGTATCTCTGCAGTAGGATGTAAAGTGCTGTTGGAATCTGCTTAAGAATGATACAGTTGTGTCTTGGTTGTTCTGTCTAGCTTTTG